TTTGACTGCCCCTGTGTGTGTGTGTGTGTGTGTGTGTGTGTGTGTGTGTGTGTGTGTGTACATTGTTACTTATACATCACGGTAGACTACATATATTCTTTGATATGGTAAATTATAGGAACAAAATGATAACAGGCAGACAATTTTTAAACGTAATAAACATTCTAAGATTTGACTTTTTCCAATTATTTTGATGGAAGTCTATTTTCTGAAGAGGAAAAGAATGAATGTCATGATGAATCACAGTCCACTGAAAAGGTTAAGGCAAAAGCAGAGCAATGTCATAGTTCTTTTAGCCTGAGACACGGTAATAAATAAACTTAATTTATTTGGAACAAAATTATTCCCACAGTGATAAGAGCCTATTTTCGTGGGCAATAATTAGGCCCAAAATGCAGAGCAATAAAGTTTAAGATCTGTTTCCTGCATGGCAGCACCAAGGTTTCACTCCTGAGCTACAGAAAGCGTCTGCAACGTTCCATGCGTTTCCTGGAGGACACGCCTGCCGCCCACCCACAGGCCTGTTCCTGCTGCTCACTGTGATCCAGGGGCAGTAACCAGGGCTGCAGGTGGGCCCTGGGAAGGCAAGGATGAAGTGTCTTAGGCTGCGTGCACACCGACTGCTGCGTCTGAGGGGTGTCTGAGGGGTGTGAGCCCCACTCCCTTCCGGCTCCTACGAAATGGTGACTCACAGGGCAGCGGTGATTGGAGAGGAGGCCTTGGGAGGTGCGAGATGAAGAGGCGCAGGCCCTATGAATGGGCTAACACCCCCATGAGACGGGCCCCAGGCACCCCACTCCTGTGGAGACACGGTCTGAAAGTCAGCCCACCCCTGTGCCCAGTGTGCTGAGGGCTCTGTAGGCTCCGAAACGATGAGGAATAAGTTTGTGGTGTGCACAATCCCAGATTCTGAAAATAGTGGTCCAAAGAGTATAAGATAGCCATCTTCAGTATCCTAAGTAACACTGTAATTTCTTAGGAAGTCCCCTGGTCATTATGAATACATACTCTCCTTAGTAATTACTGCCACCTGTGAAACAAGAGGGTCTCCTATGTCATCTTCATGAGCACTTGAGAAATAGGAGTGAGTCCCTATTCATATATTCACTCATTCTCAAGAAATTGATTATCCATAAAATGACAAGTATATTTTAAAAACTACCATATAGTTGGTTTTTGTAACAAGGTTGTACACAAATCTACAAAAATTGAATCCAACACAAAAAGTTACTGATAAGTATTATCATCAAATTCATTCTGGGTATTTTTAAAGTGTCTCCAAAAACTTTTATAGCCGTAGCTATCGACACTGAGTGAGGGAGGAAAGCCAAGCAGTCGTGCTCAGGATTCAGGGAAACAAAAATGTGTTTTTCTTGCTGTGTCTTGTACAACAGCAGATGTGGAGCTCAAGCTGCAGCTTGGTGCATTCTAGGACACACGGCTGTGCTCCTGCGCACACTGGACAACCAGCTCACTTGGGGAGTGGTGCTCTCCATCCAAGGACAGGGAGGCTTCTGCCCAGACACTCATGCTCATCCCATCTACCAGAGCTGCCAGGATTACAGGATGACATCACAAACCCTGCTCCGCACTTGGTAGTGAGGGGAGGATTCAGACAAAAGTTGGGGAGGCAGCTCACATAGTAGGGCCACGGCGCCGCAAGTCCTACCTGGCCAGGGCCTGAAGCTGCAATCAGTTCTCATTGGTTCTTCTATTTCAGTACTGGCGATCGGACTACCTGGTTGCCCATACTGATGTGTGTGTGTGTGTGTGTGTGTGTGTGTGTGTGTGTGTGTGTGTGTGTGGTATCTACATTTAACAGACAGTTTTTGTTCTTTTTTCTTCACTATTCACGTGCACAGAAGATTTTTCATGTAGGGTGGCACGGGCTTCCAAAGTCCTCGAGTTTGCTCCCAAGTTTGGGCGTTCTCCTCGCTGGCACATTCTCCACTGGGCTTGCTGTGCTCTCTGAAGACTCGCTCTGTATTCCACGCTCACGTGGAACCCTGCTGCCCTCTCGGACAGTCTCTGGGGCTTCAATAAACATCTCTACTTTTATTCCTTTTTTGTAATGATGATGGAGTTCAGTCCTGCTACCCTAAAATATTGCACCTTGGCGTATGGAATATTTTAAGCTGAAAAAAACGTAATAAATGTCAGAAACAGAAAGGTCACTCTCACCTTTCCCACACTCTTCCTCTGAAGTGGGTCATTAAACCTAGGGAGGATGTTCTGACCTAAACAGAATAGAAGGCGCCTGCATTTGAGCGGTGCCCTCCCTGTACCCAGAGAAAGGGAACATTCTTATCTCCAAAGACAGGAAGAATCTAAAGAAGCGACCTCCGGAGCACTGCACTAGGCCAGCTGCCCCCTCGGGAGGTGATATTTCACGATCGTCGTCATCAACCTTAGCATACATGTAAGCTTCATTTATTTCTTTGAGTCTTCATTTCTGAAAGTTCTCATGTCATGTAAACTGATATTAAATCTGTATGCTTTCTCTTGATAACCTGCTTTTCACTATAGGGCTTTTAGCTAGGAACCTAGGATAGATGAAAAAGAAAAAAGATCCTTTTCTCCCTTATGTTTAAAATCCTTTGGAGTTAAATCTCTCAACCTAAGTCCTTTCTCACTTCGCACCACCTTCTGCCACCGGGCTAGACATAGACAGGAAGTTACGAGGCTCGGGCCCAGCTCCTATTTCCTTACCTTGAGGCTTAGGCGTACGCTGCACAATGAGGTGGATAGCTCCAGCGTGAGGACCAAAAGCAGGGCCCGAGCGAGGAAGCAAGGTCTGCGCCGGGCTTCTGCTCCGCGTCCACGCAACTGAGCTGCAGAGTCCCGAGCTATCTCCTTCCCCAAATGAGGCTAATGACGGTGCTCACTGCCCACACGGGATGGAGGTGCAAAGCCAGAGTAAACTAGTAGCACACGGACAACACTTGTCAGAGGGCGGGGCACACAGCAGATGCACAATGCACACTTGTCATTATTGTCTCAAGCCTTTATTTCTCCACTCGAATTGACACTTTTTTTCTCTTCTTTTCATTCTCTGGTGGTTTTAAGTAGGTAATGGATTCTTGTGATCTATCGTACATGTCTAATAAGGTCATAGTGAATCTGTGCTATTTCTCAGTGAGAACAGGAAAGGGTGAGAGCAGGCAGCATGCACACACGCAGGACTGCAGCTCTGCTCTTGGCAGCCATCAGTCACGCAGAGTGAGGGCTTGGCTGAGGGGAGCCGCTGCGAGCTCAGGGCTACTCCACTGTCTCCAGGCGCCGAGCCTCCAGGCGCAGCCACCCACGCCCTTCCACATACAGGCTCCTTCTTTCCTGTCCAAGTAGAGCTGTGATGTGAACACAAGCAATACTTTAAACTACTTCTTAACACACTTTGGCAGCTGTTCTTGTCTTCCAATTTACGAGAAATTCCAAGAGGTTCCAATTCATCTGCCCATTGTGGAAAGTTCTCTGACTTTGGGACATTAATTCTGAATAAAGCAAGACCAACTTGGAGAGTAGTCCTTCTTACTGAGGAACCCACAGCTATGCTTACTGCATTTCCCCCACCTCTGTATTACCATGTCAATCCAACTAAAAACATCCTGGCAGGTCTGAGTGCCCGAGGAGAGCCCCCAGAAGTCAAGACCACGTGCTGTCGCACTGCAGGCCTCGGCATGGAGGCCGCTCGCCGGCGCCATTCCACACAAAACACTACGGATGTCAGGCTGTTTTAATTTGATGATAGCGCATCTTGTGTGAACTTGATTTTTCACAACCGTTGATTCTAAAATTGTCACACAATGTTTGCAGGTGGACCTTTGTGTCACTAAGTATCTTCTTAAAAAGTAACAGCCATCAATATAAACCAGATAAAAACTTTCAGCTATATCTTCTAATCCAGGAACACAAAGGTTGTTTGATTTAAATTAAGGCAAAGTTGGAACTGAACATATTTTCTGTGACTATTTCATTTCTGAAATGGAGTTAAAGATTTGCATTAGGAGCTTTTCTTTCCTGAATATGAGGCAGCATTTTTGACTGGTTCCTGAACCCATCTGAAGGTCAATGCTTGTTGGATAAACACATGGGCTTCCCTCCTCTGATTTAGTCATTTGAGATACTGCCCAACATCACTAGTGAACAGTATCAATGACTTCTTCTTCTTCTTCTTCTTCTTTTTTTTTTTTTTTTTTTTTTTTTTTTGCGGAACTGAGGATTGAACTCAGACCATGGCGCTTGCCAGGGAAGCACTTTTTCTACTGAGCCATCTCCCTGGCCCTGAAGACTTCTTGATGAATACATGTGAATGAAAATTCCTGTTTTATATATTTGGGGAGGACAGAAAACATACTGAGAATACTGAGAATATGCAAATCCCTACACCAGTTTTCCCCCTTTATATATTCAATGATCAAATATGAAAATTCTTTTGTAAATGCCTTCAGATATGGAATAAAATTGTGCTATAATTAAATTAAATATCCACATGTTTGGGACTTTGATACTTTTCCTATAAATGTTTCTTATTTGGAAGTTAATCTTTCAGTCACAATATACCTTTTAACTTAAAGAGCTTTTGAGTATTCACATCAGCTATAAAAGAAACAGAGCTAACACTTTGTGTATGTACACACACACACACACACACACACACACACACAACTGGATTATATTTCCAGAATTAAGTGGAAGAAACACCTTTTAATGATTAGGTGTAACGTTTTCAAAGAGATGGATCAAAACGTTTAACACAGATGTAGGTTCATTTTGTGCAAATAATATCGATCTTATTTATTGTAGCTAAACAACATTCTTTAACTGGCCTTAGATTATTTCTCCCATATCTCAGGGCTGGAAGTCACCCACTGGGCATTTGCCAGGCAGGTAGAAAGATGCCTGCATCTACCTTTGGACAATATGAATCCACAGATCCTTGCCATCTGAGGCCCACTCCCAGGCAGATACTAGCTGGCAATCATGTGACCACAACGTGACACCCCAAAAAGCAGGTTGTAAAACAAGTACTAAATAACTGGACAAAATTTCCATCAGAATCCATAATCCTTAGGCTAAGTGATGAAATTTAATCACCAAAATATTAGATATTAAGGTTCCAGATGATAGGGTAACCCAAATTATCACTGAACCTTTTTTTTTTTTTAATCATTCGCAGCTTAAATCATCAGAAAACAATATGGCTTCAAGTGGACAAATAAATACGAATTTCCAAGGAAATCCTTTCATTATCTATTGTTTTCTTCTTGCTTTGGTTCTGAGGATAATTTCTCGCCAAGTTTTCTGATAAGTTCTGCGAGGTCTTCTGTGTTCTGGGATTTTTCTTCTAGGAGTTCATAGCGGAGACTTGAGATGTCCTGCTTAATTTCCTTTAGTTCTCCTACAAAAAATAAAAGTGGTGAGAACCATTTGTAAACAGGCAACACAGAAAACCCTGATTCTGTTGGGATGAAATCAGCCCTACTTTCATCTGTGTTTGCATTTGGAACACATTGCCACTTTCTCAGGTAAAGATTTTGGTGAGTGAAAAGACAACAGCAAGTTTATACCAAAGACCTCCCAGAGTGAGCTCAGAACTGGTGGTGAGCAGGGTTGGAGCGGTGTGCAGTCTCTTCCCCAACATTTCCTCCAAGCCCCATGCTTTTTATCCAGCAAGTGACCTCCGGGAGAAACAGCCTTCTTCCCCCTGCTTCGCAGCGTCAGTCGCCACGCAGCCTGCTCTCTGCCCTTCCTGTGCACCTGCCCACTCTCCCCCAGCTCCTGGTCACCTCGGGCCCTGGGATACAGCAGGGTCCACTCACCCTCATTCACTCCATCACTCTCTCTGTCTGTCTGCGCCTGCAGTACATATCTTTTAATGAGCCTCTTCATCATTTTCTAGACAGAGAAAAGGGAGACCAATTTCAGCATTATATTTACACCAGATCTTGCATTTGAAAGTAGCTTCTGGCTGAGAACATAGCTCCGCGACCTTAAGCAACTGCCTAGGAGGAGCAAGGACCAGGGTTTGATTCCCAGTATCACTTGCCAGCCCCGCCGTGCTGCCCGAATCAAGGGCATGGTAGCACACTCCTGTAACCCCAGCACTGGAGAGGCTGAGACAAGAGGATCAATACAAATCCAAGCTGCATAGCGAGACCCTGTACCAAATAAACAAGTAAAAATAAAAAGATTAAGAAAAGAAAAGAAAGCAGTTTCTGAGTTTTGTCCCTCTAGTAACCACTTTGGAGATGGCTATAGAAGGAAGTGGTGGGCTTCATTGTTCTCTTGAAAGGAGCGTTCAGGTCACCTGTGCTCACAACTTAGAAGCTAACCTGTGGGGAAGGAGCAAGGGGAGCAGGACATCTGGGGGTGCATGTCCACCGCTGGCACTTCACTGGAAAGGTATCGGAGCAAAGCACAGTCCTCACCCAGCAGAGCCGCTGTGCCATGCTCCAGGTGGCAGCAGGCGACCAAGCTGACGCCCAGCTCTTTGTGACCCCTCAGGAAAGGTAGCCACTTTGATTTCATAATTACTACTTCTTAGGCAATGACTAATTTCAATATAATAAGGCACTTAGAGTAAAGAGCCGGGCTTGTAGCCTATGCATGTTACTTTCACTGTACAATTTTTCTAAGAATCAGGAGACTCAGCACGTACACAGAAAGTTCTGGATGGATGCACAGCTAAGCCCGACCTTACCACCTAAACCAGAAATTAAATACCAATTAAAAAAACTCTACATTCAAAGTTTTATGCTAATGGTATAATTTGGTGTAGAGGTAAATACGTTCACAGTAAAACTACTTATAATCGCAGAAAAAAGAACTGCAAATGTCCTTCAGTAGGAATTATTTTAATGAATTATCATATACTTATAGAAAGAAATACTATATGCCCACCAAAATAATGGGAATTTATGCTTCATAGAGTGAATAGAGGCTATAAACTATTACTCTACAATCAATATTAACTTATTTATATAACTGGCAGAATATTCACTTGAGTAGGCAGTCTTCACTTCTCCGTGGCAGCATTTGGGGTAAATTTTTTTGTCTTTATTCTTCTGTAAGATTAGCCATTTGCAATGAACATATCGCCACTAAGCTACATGAGTCCAAGACTTTATCTACTGTGTTATGTTGTCTTCGGCACCTAGAAAGTACTTCCTACATGATAGTTACTCAGGCAATATTTGCTGATTGAATGTACTAGTTTGAATTTGATAAAATATTCAACATTTCATTTTTACTTAGAGAATCACATAGTTTGAAAATCTAAATATTGTAAGTAACTAACCTTTCTTTGTTTAAAAGTTAAAACTTACCTGATATTGTCTTGGAGGATTACTGAGACTATTTAAATGGAAATCTTCAGAGCTTCTTATGCTTGATTGTTTGTTTTGTCCAAGCTGTAATTTGAACACACTTAGAAATTGATTCTTATTTAGTCTTTAAGTTTTTAATCTTGGTAAGATTTTTATTAGTTACATACATGAATTAATAAATCATTTAATATATATAATCGTGTCAGGTCGGGGAAATGGCTCAGTAGAATAAGCGCTTCCCTGGCAAGTGCAAGGCCCTGAGTTCAATCCCCGGCAGGGGACAGCACCATTTCCACTAGTCTGCTTAATGTTCTGTCTTCCTATTGCCTCTTAGCCTTTTGGCTAAGGTGTAAAACTCAGTCTCAGGACCAACCAGTGGCACTTTCCCAGTCTTCAGCCCCCCAGCGGCTGTCAGAGGCTGGAAGAACTTGTAGACTTTACGCCTCTCAATCACGCTTTCGTAGCAGTCACACTACAACCTTTCCACAGACCCAGCAATGGTAGGACAAGAGGTAATTAAGTTGGAGAAGGAATGGCGGGCACCACAGAAGTCTCTGAGTGAGGGGTTATGAGGTCATGTGATTGTCACAGGCATTGGTGCCCTAGGTCCTCAGGATGCTCCTGAGAACAGCAGGGCGAGACTTTGAGTGACAGTGTCCAGCTGCTGAGAGAGCGCTAGGCACGCCGAATGGGGCCTGTATGGAGCACTAATTAAGCTATTTGAATTTAGGCATTTGATGTAGACTGATTTTGGAAGCACTGTTCAAGTAAAATGTCATTATGGCAGCACTGGTCCGTAAACAACAAAGAATTCAAGCAATAGCCAGTCAGTGTGCTACTGTACCACACTGACATGTTAAGAGGATGGAGAAAAAATGTCATCAATGCATTTTCTAGAAAGGAAATAAGAGAAATTGAGAAATGCAAAGCAGCTCTCAATCTGTAAGTTCTGGGTACCAGTTACCTCCCAGGAGAAGAGAAACTCCAGGACTGTGTTCAAGGACCAAAGATGTCCACTGCTCGTGTTTCTCAATGATGTCTCAGTTGCTGTAAGTAAAGCCCGGTGAAGCTCACTTAAAACCCTTGCTCCACATCGTGTGCTGATGTTTCTAGTAGGTGCAGCCTAATGTCCCTCCAGCAAGGCACTCCTGGCATTTGGAGCTGGAAAATGCACTGGCCTAAGGGGTCCTCCGTGCACTGTGGGAAGATTAGCAGATTGCCTGACCTCTAACTACAAGAGGTCCTCCCCACTGTGACCAGCAAACACGCTCCAAATCAAATATCCTCCTGGGGCAGGGGCGGAGGGCACATCACCCTTCCTTGAGAACCCTGCTACAGGTCTTGGCTGGTAACTATACACTTATAAATTCATTTAGATCATTTTTGTGAATAGTACTTTTGTAAGTCTGAAATATAGAGATTTTGATGCAAATATATACCTTTTATTCACCAAAAAAAAACCACCTTGTGGCCAGTTCCTAATACATCATAGAAATTCAACAAGTATTTACTAAAAACTTAACAAATAACGGAGAAATCGTATGTACAAGGGAAATTACCTGATGTGCAAAAACACATTCTTACCACTTGGTGGCAGAAAATCCTAATGTATAATTCTTTCCATGCAGTATAACTAAAAGTGAAAATCTGGAAGGTCATTTCGGTAATACTTTCGCATGAACAAGGGAACTCAACTTGAAGTATAAGTAATGTCTGGACCTCAGCGACGCGAGCGCTTATAGGGTGGGCTGCCATGTGGAGTCAGGAGCAAGAGGCGCGGGGGCTTAGCGAGAAGCAGGAAGGGCTGACCCAGCTCCGTGCCGACCCACGCACGCACACGCATGCTCCCCAATTCTGCACGCAGCACCGTTTCTTTAGGTGTACTCTTTATTATATTTTCTGTATATATTATGCCTTTCTTTATTCCCCAATAATGGGTTTGATGTTAGAAAGCAAGGCTAATTTCTCATCTTGTAGCTTCATGGTAGAATCAGAATGCAGATCACTCATCTGAAGAACAATTACGCTCCCGTCTTTGGGGTTTGTTACAATACTGGACACAGAGACAGTGCTGGAGAACCGACCAGGGATGCAGCACAGTGGCACAAGCACCTGCCTGGCAAGCGCAAGGTCCTGAGTTCGATTTCTAGTACCAAAGCAAACAAAAAGTTCCAGAGGTCGCCAAATCCCCACCAGTATTAAATGCCTACAGCCAGGAACAAAGCAAGGACCTTGAAGCTGCAGACACTATACTCAGTCATCAGGAGATGCAGACATGGCACAAAACCATGCTGGTTACGCTGTATCTGTTAACTCCTTGCTTTGGGATCAAGAACATGTGTGCTCGAAGCCTGGCTTCACCTCTTATCTGGAATAGGACTTCAGACAAGTCATTTGTCCTCTGGCTGCTCAACTGTCACTACTGAAGAGAAGGATGGCATCTTCTGTGTGGCCTTAGGTCTGCTTTGCCACCAGCTTCAACCTACTCAGTAAGTCCTGGAGATACGTTGCCAGACATTGTTTTTACGGATGTGCCAAGCTTGTAGCTCAGTCATTCAGGGAATAAAGCACTCAGAGATCCCTACTCTGAGATAAGCATTACGACCTCCAAGGTCTTATTAAAATACATTCCTAAGCCATAGTGCCAGATTTGGACTCAAGACCTCTGGAGAAGAGCATTAGGAATTTGCACAAAAACATGCGAAGAGGTAGCCCAGGCAGAACAGACACAGTTGAAGCCACTACTTACGTGGTGGCATCATGTGATTTTTAATAGCCTCTGTCCTAGATAATGGCTAAAAATGATAATTCCTGGATATACAGTTGATGCAAAGTTCTTACTCAATCCAGTGCAGACCAGACCAACTCAACAGAGCATAACCACCACCCCCTGCCACCAAAAAAAAAAAAAAAACCCTCAAAAGCGATGTGTTTCTAACTGCAATAGTGGACTTATTCAGAAAGTCATTCATTAAGTTGAAGTGCGTGTATGTTTCAGTAGATGGCAGAGCTCAATTTTTATTTGTCCTCTCCATTCATAGTGCAGGTGACCGACCGTTCAAGGTGAAAGAAGTGACTCTTTTGTTTGTTTTGTTTTGGTCCCAGGAACCCAACACAGGATCTTGCACTTCCCAGGCAAGCGCTTGTGCCACTGAGCTACACCCCCGGCCCTAGAGGGGAAAGAAGTGATGAAGATAATGTACAGGTCTGCTTGCAGTTTTTGAACAGTATTTTCCATGGCTCATCCTACTGATTTTTATGGCTTTCCTGGAGCAGATGTGAAGGCAGAGTTTGTGCAGCCAACTAAAGACATCACTCTTCAGAGAAATGACTAGAGTAAAAGAGAATCTGTGCCATCTCAGATGTTGGGTTTATGAAAAGAATCAAGCAGAAGCCATGCAAATTCTATGAGAGTGAACCACGAGGACTTTTCTAAGTGAAGGCAGGGTCTAAATATCCTAGTGGGCGCCCATCTCAGGACTACCAGTAAACCTGTTTGAAATATATATGATTATCTTAAAACATTTTTCTCCCTTTGGAATACAGTTTAATACTTCAAGTGTAAGCAAGCTTTAGGAAATAGGTCTCAAGTTTTGCTGACCACAAGGTCCATGGCCAGGGAAAATGGACACGTGTGTTGATTCGAGCCTTCTGGCATCACACACCAAGAGAGAAGTGTGAGAAGTCTTCAAACTCATCCCTATGAAAGGCAAGGGGGCTGTGAGCCAGAGAAGGCAGGGAGTCTCCGGCTGTGACTCAGATCACCTGTGGGAAGGGTAGAAAATTCTCTGAGAGCCATTTGGCCCAGTGGGGGGCTCCAGAGCAAAGACAGCACAGAGGAGTGCTGTCTGCAAAGGAGGGTCCGGGACCCACAGAGCACACACTGCCTTGGCAAGAGCCCTCAGGAGCCCAGAGGTCCTGTAGCTGGAAGGAGAAGTGAGAGCAGCAG